GTGTGGAATAACCGAGGGCGGCAGTAATGGATTGCCATACTTCCCGCGAGGTGTTACGACCGACTGACAAGTACATCACTTCCTCCGACAGAGATGAGATGAGAGAAAGGATGGACTGGTCTTGTTGCGTCCAGACCCGGTGTGCTGGATTAACTTCCGGTACGGTGGTGGTGGCGCCGGAAGCCGAGTCACCGGACGGTGTGTTGATCATTGGCGGCGGACATGGTGTGTCGCCGTCCACATAACCGAGCAAGCCTTGTCCACGGAGGAAGGGAACGAACTGTGTGCGCCAGAACAAGTAGTTCCTAGCGGTGAGTTCAATAGAAACGAAATGGTGACCTGTGGCTAAAGTGTTTGGGGTGGTGGCTGACGCCGTTGTGCCGGCGGTAATAGTTCTCTCCGACGAATTTGTCGACATCGGACATCGGATGGCCGTGGGTCGAGGAGTATCGACGATAGGGAGAGAGGAAAAGAAGGAGGATCTAACCTACGGCTTAGCTGATACCAGATGAATGTAATTGAACTGAAATTGAATTATCCAAACAGTTACAGAGATAGAGACTATTACTAGAGAGATCTGTTACACGTAAAAGTCTCCTGACAAATAGACTGTACTACGCTGACTATTCCTATACCACACATATATTAACTTATTACAATAGGAAATAATAATATTCTAAATATATTATTCACATCCTATACATTCCTGGTTGTCATTTCAATTTGATTTCAATTAATCAACTTACTCACTCTCTTAATTGCCTTGTCACCTTTTCTTCTGTTTCTGTGGTTATTCAGGACTGTCAAACAAAAGGAACAATTAGTGTATGATATGAATCATGAGGTCTATACCATCTTTCAGATGTTCCACTAATACCAAAACAGCTTGCACTGCTTCTGTTTCACCTCTTCTTAACCATTGTCGTTTAGGACACCCCAACCTCAATAAATTAAAACAACTTGTTCCTGGATTGTCAAATTTAAAAACCAGAGTGTGAATCGTGTCAACTTGGGAAATACTCAAGAGCTTCATATCCTAATAGAGCGAATAGGAGGGCCAATAGCCCATTTTCCTTAGTTCACTCCGATGTTTGGGGACCATGACGAGTTTCATCCACTTTGGGTTTCTCATATTTTGTTGTCTTCATTGATGATTTCTCTCGGTGCACATGAATCTTCATGTGCTAGAACTCCTCAACAGAATGGAGTTGCTGAACGAAAAATTCGTCATCTTGTTGAAATAGCTCGTACTTTGCTTATTCATAACAAGGTTCCTAAGAATGTGCTAGGACAACCCAACCTCAATGAATTAAAACAACTTGTTCCTGGATTGTCAAATTTAAAACCCATAGAGTGTGAATAGTGTCTGTTGGAATATGAGCAGTGTTAGAATATGAGCAGCCTACTCTTATTATTATGCTTTTATTATGCTTTTAAGTCTTTGGAGAGTGGAATAGTTTTAGACCTTTTATGTCCCTTCCCAATACTTGTTATCTTCCTATATAATGTCTTGTAATGTGTTGTTCTTTCTAAGATGGAATAACAAGAAGATAGTTCAGGTTCCTTTTAGTTTACCTTTCAACATGGTATCAGAGCCAAGTTTGAAGGGCCTGAAAATTTCCAGATGAACTCACCGTGAAAAACAGTGTTCATCATCACTTTTCTACACTATCTCAAACTAAGAGCTTTATTCACTGATTTGGTGCCACATTCCTTCAAAAGAAGCTCCGGCGACACTGCTCACTCTTTTCCGGTCACGGTGGCTGCCTTTTCTGGCAGCTTTTTCCGGCCTTTTCCAGCAGCTTTTTCCGGCCAAAATTTCCAGATCATCTCGCCTTGTTCCTGCAACACTACGGTGTTTTTCTCATATTTTTATGACAACTATGGCAGAACATAGAATTTCCAGCAGTGTACCTGCAACACTACGGTGTTTTTCTCATATTTTTATGACAACTATGGCAGAACATAGAATTTCCAGCAGTGTACCAGCCGGGAAGTCTGCCTGGGTCACCAAAAATCAGACTCATGCTCTTGCATTAAAGTCAGACTCAGTTTGGGTCTTGGATTCTGGAGCAACTGATCACATATCTGGTAACCTTTCTTTTTTCTCCCATATTGATTTCTCAGACTCTCTTCCTGCTGTCACTTTTGGCGATGGGTCAAAAGGAAAGGCTATAGGAATTGGAAAAGTTACTATTCATTCTTTATCTTTATCCAATGTTCTTTACATTCCCGGGTGTCCCTTCAATTTGATTTCAATTAATCAACTTACCCAGTCTCTTAAATGCCTTGTTACCTTTTCTTCTGATTCTGTGATCATTCAAGATCGTCAAACAAAGGAAACAATTGGTAAAGGATATGAATCACGAGGTCTCTATCACCTTTTTTGTTCTACCAATACCAAAATAGCTTGCACTGCTACTACTTCACATCTCCTTAACCATTGTCGCTTAGGACACCCTGATCTGAATAAATTAAAACAACTTGTTCCTGGTTTGTCAAATTTAAAAACCATAGAGTGTGAATCATGTCAACTTGGGAAACACTCAAGAGCCTCATATCCTAGTAGAGTGAATAGGAGGGCCAATACCCCATTTTCTTTAGTTCACTCCGATGTTTGGGGACCATGTCGAGTTTCATCCACTTTGGGTTTCTCATATTTTGTTGTCTTCATTGATGATTTTTCTCGGTGCACTTGGGTCTTTTTAATAAAAAAACCGTTTTGAGTTATTCAATGTGTTTCAAAAATTCTACAATGAAATTGTGAATCAATTTGGGGTTTCTCTCAAAATCTTACGGAGTGATAATGCAAGAGAGTATTTTTCTGACCCTTTCACATCTTTCTTTTCCTCACATGGAATACTTCATGAATCTTCATGTGCTAGAACTCCTCAACAAAATGGAGTCGCTGAACGAAAAATTCGTCATCTTGTTGAAACAGCTCGTACCTTGCTTATTCATAATAAGGTTCCTAAGAATTTCTGGGGGCATGCTATACTTCACTCATGTTATCTCATAAATAGAATGCCTTCTTCTGTTTTACAAAGAAAAATTCCTCTTCATATCTTGCTCCCACAGGAACCTCTCCATAAGCTCCCGTTGCGAATTTTTGGGTGTACTTGCTTTGTTCATGATACTTCTCCAGGACGTGATAAACTTGATGCCAAGGCAATAAAGTGTGTTTTTCTTGGATATTCTCGCCTCCAAAAAGGCTTTAAGTGTTACTGTCCTAAAACACACCGTTTTTATACCTCCTTCGATGTTACATTTTTTGAAACAACACCCTTTTTCTCATCCAACTCCGTTGAGTCTGATTTTTTAGGGGAACCCATTGAAATCACAGAAGTTCTCCCTGTTCCTACTTTCTCAGAACCTGTATCTCCCACTGTTCCTGAAAGGACCATACCTATTCCTGAAAGAATTATACCAACTCTAAACATCCAAGAGGAAGGGCATGTTCCACCATTGTTGTACACCTACCAACGACGCAATCATCAAGATTCCCAAGAGGGTAGACACCCAGTTGAGTCATGTCCTACATCACTGTTACCCAATGATACAGTCCAAAACACCACAACACACTCTCCCATTGCTAGCCGAGTAGGTAAAAGATCCACTCGAAATCCTTACCCTATCTATAATTTCCTTTCACAGAAACGTCTATCTCCATCATATTGTGCCTTCATTTCTAGTTTGTCAACTGTTTTTGTTCCAAACAATGTCAAGGAGGCATTAACTCATCCAGGGTGGACTCAAGCAATGGTTGATGAAATGGAAGCACTCCATTCTTCTGGGACTTGGGAGTTAGTTCCTTTACCTCCTGGTAAAACCGTGGTTGGTTGTAGATGGGTGTATAATGTGAAGGTTGGGCCAGATGGACAGGTTGATAGATTCAAAGTTCGACTTGTTGCTAAAGGATACATGCAGGTTTTTGGCATTGACTACACGGACACCTTCTCACCGGTAGCCAAGATCACTTCTATCCGCCTCTTACTCTCAATGGCAGCTAATCGCCACTGGCCACTGTATCAGTTGGATATAAAGAATGCCTTCTTACATGGTGATTTGAATGAGGAAGTATATATGGAGCAGCCCCCTGGACTTGTGGCTAAGACAGGAGCTAGTCTTGTTTGTCGTCTTAAACGCTCTCTCTATGGATTGAAGCAATCTCCACGTGCCTGGTTTGGGAGATTTAGAGATGTGGTACAACAATTTGGCATGATTCAAAGCAAGGCTGACCACTCTGTCTTCTATAAACATCTACATGGAAAAAGCATATATCTTGTGGTTTATGTTGATGATATCGTCATTACAGGCAATGATAGTGAAGGAATAAATCAGCTTAAGAAACATTTGTTTCAGCATTTCGAGACAAAAGATCTTGGAAAATTGAAGTATTTTCTTGGTATTGAAGTTGCTCAATCCAAACAAGGTATCTATGTGTCTCAACGAAAATATATTTTGGATATTCTTGAAGAAACAGGAATGACAAATTCCAAACCAGTTGACACACCCATGGATCCAAATGTCAAACTTCTTCCAAGACAGGGGGAGCTCCTATCCAGTCCAAGTAAGTATCGGAGGTTAGTTGGCAAGCTACTGTACTTGACTATCACTCGACCAGATATCTCATTTGCTGTAAGTGTAGTTAGCCAATTTTTGCAAGAACCATGTCAGTCATTGGGATGCAGCCATCAGAATATTGAGATATCTGAAAAGATCCCCAGGTACAGGATTACTTTATAAAGATCATGGAAATACAGAAATTGTCAGAAATTGTCAGTTACACAGATGCAGATTGGGCTGGATGTCCTTGGGATAGGAGATCGACATCAGGATATTGTGTCCTATTCGGAGGGAATTTGGTTTCTTGGAAAAGCAAGAAACAAGATGTGGTTGCACGATCAAGAGGCAGAATACCGAGCAATGGCACTAGGGATTTGTGAACTAATTTGGGTTAAGCAACTTCTCACAGAACTCGATTTCCGCAAGCTTGGGCCTATGAAACTAGTTTGTGACAATCAGGCAGCTCTACATATTGCCTCCAATCCTGTCTACCATGAAAGGACCAAACATATCGAGGTTGACTGCCACTTTATACGCGAGAAGGTTGCATCCGGAGTCATTGTTACCACATTTGTTGGGTCAAACGATCAACTCGCTGATGTTCTCACCAAATCTCTTCGTGGACCTAGAATTGAATATATTTGTGGCAAGCTGGGAGCTTTTGATTTATACGCTCCAGCTTGAGGGGGAGTGTTGGAATATGAGCAGTGTTAGAATATGAGCAGCCTACTCTTATTATTATGCTTTTATTATGCTTTTAAGTCTTTGGGGAGTGGAATAGTTTTAGACCTTTTATGTCCCTTCCCAATACTTGTTATCTTCCTATATAATGTCTTGTAATGTGTTGTTCTTTCTAAGATGGAATAACAAGAAGATAGTTCAGGTTCCTTTTAGTTTACCTTTCAACAGTGTCAACTTAGGAAACACTCAAGAGCTTCACATCCTGGTAGAGTGAATAGGAGGGTCAATAACCCATTTTCTTTAGTTCACTCCGATGTTTGGGGACTATGTCGAGTTTCATCCACTTTGAGTTTCTCATATTTTGTTGTCTTCATTAATGATTTCACTCGGTGTACTTGGGTCTTTCTAATGAAGAACCGTTTTGAATTATTTGATGTGTTTCAAAAATTCTACAATGAAATTGTGAATCAATTTGGCGTATCTCTCAAAATCTTACGCAGTAATAATGCAAGAGTCACTGCAAGAGAGTATTTTTCTGATTCTTTCACTTCTTTCTTATCCTAACATGGAATACTTCATGAATCTTCATGTGCTAGAACTCCTCAACAGAGGAACCAAAAATCCGTCATCTTGTTGAAACAGCTCATACTTTGCTTATTCATAATCTTGTCTCTTGGAAAAGTAAGAAACAAAATGTGGTTACACGCTCAAACACTGAAGCAGAATACCGAGCAATGGCACTTGGAATATGTGAGCTAATTTGGGTCAAACAACTTCTTACAAAACTCAATTTCTATAAGCCTAGTCCTATGAAATTAATTTGTGATAATCAAGCAGCGCAGCACATTGCATCTAATCCTATCTACCATGAAAGAACTAAACATATTGAGGTTGATTGCCACTTTATATGAGAGAAGGTCACATCTGGAGACATTATTACCGCATTTGTTGGGTCAAATGATCAACTTGCTGATGTTCTCACCAAATCTCTCCGTAGACCTAGGATTGAATACATTTGTAGCAAGCTGGGAACTTTTGATTTATACGTGCCAGCTTGAGGGGGAGTGTTGGAAATATTGAAAGTATCTTGAGCAGCACACCTTTTGCTTTAGTAATTAAAGTCTTAGGGAGAAGTGTAGTTTCCTTCCTTATTTATTATGTCTCCTCCCAATACTCTTGTAGGTCTATATATTGTTTTGTAACCTGAGTTAGAAGTATGAATAAAAAAGCTTCCTAGACTTTTAACAATATGAATTAATGACCGTTTTGGTCCATCGACTATGCCACAAATAAATCTTCAACTATTGATTTCGTAACCGATTTGGTCCTCCATAATTACCAAATTGATTCTCGATCAATTTGACGGAGGACCAAATCGGTTACAAAATCAGAAGTTGAGGATTTAATTGGTCAAAATTAATAGTTGAGGACCAATTTGGTAATTACGGCATAGTCGAGGAACCAAAACGGTCATTAATACCATTACATATTGCATTCGGCCCAATTTTCCATGAGAGAATAAAACGCAATGAAATTGACTGTCATTTTGTTTGAGAGAAGGTAACTTCAAGAGAAATCATTGCCTCATTTGTTGGCCGAATGAGTTAATGACCAGTTAGTATATATATTTACTAAATCTCTTTAGAAGGCCTAGGATCAAATACATTTCTAACAAGCTTAGAGCTTACTATATATATATATATGCTCCAGCTTGAAGGAGAGTGTTCATATGTTGAGTTAGACTAAGTGTTTGATTGTAACCATCCAACCATCATTTGAAGTGCACTCATCTAGCTAGTGTGGGTAACATGTAGATGCTCTCATTTGTTCATAAAATAAACTTAAATACCATGTTTTCTTCCTATTCAACAGTTTTAAATGAATCAATTATTCTTGCATAGCTACCAAACTAAAATTTTCAAATTCTACCAAGGAAAGAAATTTCTCAAATATAGGGACTGGGGAGTGATAATAACAATGGCAAACCTCTAGATGGACTGATATCAATCCAGGCCAACCAAGTGAAATAATATGTTGGGACTCTGCCAAAAAAGAAAAAAAAAAAAAGAAAAAACAGTCAAAACAAAGAGTTAAATGATTACATCCTTCATTTTTATCAGCATTTTCATGTCAGTATTATATATTGGAAAAAATAATCAATGAGTAACAAAAAATTCACTCTAATATTTACAGGCAAGAAGAATCTAAAGATGGGATAATTTAAGAACTACATGCATGCGGAATTTCTTCATGTGTCCTACAGGATGCTTCCTGGAAGAGTCGCAAACCCAAATTTTTTTGGTTGGGTAATAGTAACAAACCTGAATTAAGAAGTGAGCATCCTGCCAATGAAAGTTCGATCAAGTTCACACAATTCTGAGTCAGAATAAGCAGATCATCATTGGTCATCCATGCAGTCACTCTTTCAAGTTTCAATTTTCTCAAATTTGGCATGCTGAACTTAAAGATTGATGATGAAATCTCACCAATACAATAGCAAAGAGCCAAAACTTGCAAGTTTTTTAAAGCCTTTAAAATTTTTAGCATGATGGAGTCAGATATTACCTGCTACAATCAGATAAAACTCCAGTTATAGATAATAGAATACAAGCAAAAAGCATTTGGAACGACTTCCAAGTACAAGTAACAACAATTTGTGAATGTAAATGAATATAAGATTATGTATTTTCTCCTTTGCTTACTTACATTCAGCACATTTTACTAATAGATGCCACTAAATCTTTGCCCACAAAGCCAGAGAGATAAAAGCCATTGTTTTCTCTTTTTTTTTTCTTTTTTTTTTTTGGTTCTTTTTTTTTTTTTTGGGTACATCTTATGGGGGATGAGGGTGATACAATTTGAACCAATGTGTACAACTTGGAAAGGGGTTTTGAGTTACCATCAAGCTACACTCTAAACTCCAAGATTAAAGCATTGTACTACAACCTAAAAAGTGTTTTAGTCAAATAAAGGACAGCTTAAGTATAAAAACCAACCTATTTCTATATCCATCATAAGCTTCTTAAGTCATCATTTGAAAGGGTTCCAATACATAACAAATGTAGAAAGAAATAACATAATATACTAAACAATGTTTGAAAAGGTAAAACTAGAATGAGTCTAAGGCAGGCCATGCTGGAAATACTGTGTGGTGTTTGGGACAGGCATATATTTCATGACGTGATCCCACTGGCTAAGGCAATGCATTTGGGAGCTGAGCACAAACTTACTGTAGAATGTGAACTGTGTTTATTAAACTCATGAAAAGGAACTGTACAAGAATACTATTTATACAAGCTAGTAGTAGGGTTAGACAAGCTCTCAACCACTCATTTCAAATTCAAATTGAGTAGTCGAGACCTATTCTCTCAACCTCCCTCAACATCTTCTAACACTTATATGCCCCAACCTAAAGGAGATAACAGAAAAATAGGAGAGGTAGAGAGAAGGAATCCAATAGATTTTGTTTACCATATATACTTCTCTTTTTGTCTTTTCATTTTGTGGCTCAAAAATGGTTACAACAATTAGATATGTGACTTGCAAAGAAGGTGCTGGTGATGAGATGTGTGCCAGAAAAATGAAGAATTGGATTTAGAAGTGAAAGAATCAATGTTGAAAACTCAAACCTTCAGGCAAACTCCAACAGCTTCCCTTTTGGGGCAATCATTATTTGTAGTTATTACGATAACAAAATCAAATTGACTGTTAATTTTTTTATTATAAATATATATACAGTGGATGTTTTCTCAATATCCACAAAATATTTATTTTCCTGCTATCATAAAATTATAACTTACTGTTACCAATATAGAAAACAAACAAATTATGGGACTTAAACAAGTTGAAAAACCTCATTTTAACCTATGCCTTTCAACATCTGGTAACAGTCATAGATTACCTGGAAATAAAGAATCAAAGTCTCCAACCAGGGACAGAGAGTTGGCAACATCTTCAGCCCATCTTCGCCCATAGATCCACCCAACCCTATAATTATTGTCCTTAACATTCTAATTGCTGGCCTCAGAACCTCTAAAGAAAAGAATGAAAATCCCCATCCAACTGCAATTTCCTCCAATTGGCAGGATTTGCCAAGTTCATAGTATAACTCACTGTAATGATATGAGAAAGCATTGGACTTCTCTGTCACACTTTTGCTTTCCTCTTGTATAAAATTTCTACAATCTCTGGCAATGAAACACTTTAGACCCAGATTTCTCCGGATCACTTGAGCCACAGCAGAGCCAGAAACCTGAAATTCAAAAAATGCATCATTCATAAGATGATTTTCTATCCATAAATGAGGTTGAATCCATCACCTTATTAAGTTTCCCAAAAACGTCAAAGTCAATGCCTTGGTGCCTCTAACCGTGTAAGGAAAATATGGCATTCTACCAAGTTAAACAAAGATGCATCTTTTATAAAGGTAAATGGATCCATACATTACTGTGATAATTTTCCTTCACTGGCCACTTAGACAGTGACCTAGTATTTGACTGCCACTTAGATTAAAACTTCATCTACAGGAAACATGACACATTTACTGGATAACAGACAATTTGAATGATTTGAAGCTAAGGAAACTGGCTACATAGAGACACCTTAGTATTCGAGACATCAAGCATCTCCAAGCAAGATCCTGAAAATTTGTCTAGTGCATGATCCACAAGTTCAGTCTCCCTTAGGCAAAGACTTTTCAACATAGGTGTTTGAGATATAAGCTCCGAAAGAAATGCTTCAGTAACACCTGCCAAGAAGATAGAACAATGTGTTAATTGAGACTAATTTTAATATTGTAGCATAAGAGAATATCGTAACGGAAAAGACCCCCTAGTTGTGTTCAGCACCACTTAAAGGAGGAATTGCCATTATAGCATTTCATTTCAATATTTTAATCTTAATGCATCAGTAACTGGAGTTTAAGATTCACACATAAAGGTTGTTAGAGAAATAGGGTGTTAGTTGAGAGGATCTCTCTTAGCCTTAGTTTTAGGTATTTGAAACCTATGGCTAGGATTAGTTCTTGTCTAGTATAAATAGCTCTATACTTCCTTGTACATTGACATACAGAACATATAGAAATATACACTTGAGTTTATTGTTTAACATGGTATCAGAACGAGATTGAGGTGACTGGGTAGTGGGTGTTGGTCGAAAAGAGGAGGCGACGCCGGCGGGAGAGGCGGAGCGGCCACCGGAGTCCTCACGCGCCGCCACGCGCCGGCGCAGTCCTAGGGTTCCGACGCCACGCGCCGGCGCGTGGGCAGTTCTCCGATCGCGGCCGGTACCGTTGGGCTCGTCTCTGAACACCCAACACGTCTGCAGTGGTGGTGTACTCTGGTGTTGCGAAAGGCTACTGTGTTTTGGACTGCTACGTTTTGGACTGCTGCGTTTTCAGGTTGGTCTGTTTTGTCTATTATGGCTGAGGAGAGTGAGCAGAGGATGGAGGGCTGCCTCGAGTGGTTCAGTGAGGGGTTTGGGTTCATAACCCCCGATGATGGTAGCGAGGATTTGTTTGTTCACCAGTCTGGTGTCAGCCGAGAAAGAGAGACAACCGAGAGAGATGGTAGGGGAGGTCCACGGAGCTGGGTGGTCTGAGGTCCATGAAGCTGGGTGGTCTGAGGTCCACGAAGCTGAGAAATAATTAGGCAGTAGTTTTCTTTTGTTTATCGTGTTCGTATTAATAAGTCTTGACCTTTGTATTTTGTTTATCATAGTTTGTCGCTCTAAATTGATTTGGTATGGGAGCAATTCTAGGGTCTGAGTGGAGTCAAGTGCAGCTTGTTCAGTGTGCGTAAACAGGGGTGCTGCAGGAGTGGGCAGCACAGGTGCCAGGAGTGGGGCGGACCTGGCATATGCCGCGGGGAAGGCCGACGGCTGAAGAATGATTCAGAGTGAATTAGTTTACGTGCATGCACCAGGGAAGCACTGTAGTGTTAGGCAGCGTTGATAAGGGTGCATGGTGAGAGGGACAGGTGCACTGTGGTCTAGCAACGCCAAGGGTTTGTGGAGTGAGAGGCAGGTACGCTGTGGTGTTAGGCAGCGGTGACAAGGGTGTGGGGAGTGAGAGGCAGGTGCGGCACTGTGGTGATTGGCCTAGTTTTTTTGTTGGCTCCGTAGAAGTGTTGCTGGTGCGACAAGGTGCGTTGTGGACTGGTTTGGCACAGCGTGGTTCGAAGGTTGTTCGAGTGGTTCAAGACTTGGGCGTTAGCCTTGGAAGTTATGAGTCTAGGTCCTATGGTTCATGTGATACGTATGTAACAAGTTGGGTGCTCCAACTTGAGGGGGAGTGTTAGAGAAATAGGGTGTTAGTTGAGAGGATCTCTCTTAGCCTTAGTTTTAGGTATTTGAAACCTATGGCTAGGATTAGTTCTTGTCTAGTATAAATAGCTCTATACTTCCTTGTACATTGACATACAGAACATATAGAAATATACACTTGAGTTTATTGTTTAACAAAGGTTACCGAGAAAACAACCAAATAATCAAGCCTGCATGCTAAAAAATCTTTAAGCCTTTATCATCAACAAATAAACAAGAAAAGGTTCAAACAAAAATATTATGTTTACCAAGTACTTAAATTGTTCTTTTCAAAAAAAAAATAGTACTTAAATTGTCAAATTTATCAGGCAAATAATACCAATGATGTTAAAGAATCGAGTGAGAATATGATTCAATAACTCAACACTTTTGGCTCTATGAGTTCAAAAGGACTAGAATTTCAAAATAGGAGCTCCAAAGTATCATGAATTAATATGCATAGCACACTCTTCAACAAAAGATTGTGTAGTGTAAAAGGAGGCTAAGCAATCTTTGGTATCGAAAAGAAACTATAGTTCTACATCCAAATTAAATAATAACATTAATAAATATAAAGGAGCGTAGAAGGATAAGTTACTCTTGCAGCCACCCATATGCAGGACTTGAAGTCTAGAGGCCAAAGACTGAGAGAAGTCTTCAAATTTAGGTGCTTCAGAATTCTCGAATTTTGATGCACCATAGCAAAGAGCCAGAACGGAATTCCGTCCAAAGTAAGTATCACAAACCAAGATTGAGTGCAGCTTTATACATTTAAGCAGTACAACTGATATTCCATCATCAGTCAAAGATATGCACCCTCGAAGGTTAACATAACTCAAGGATGGACAGAATTCCGCGAAAAAGAAGAGATGACGGTCTGAGATAAATAAAAATAAAGTTAAATTTAAAAAAAAAAAAAAAAAAAAAAAAAAAAAAAGGAATGGAAGTTAGTAAATGAGTGAAGACAGTTTTATATACATGTATATATTGATAAGAAAATGCAGACAATATTATAAAATACAAAGAGATAAATGACATTGTTGTTGGGCCAAGGAAAGGAGGGTTGGAATGGACAAGCTTGCAGGACCAAATATATCTTACCTGAGATATCAGTTCGACCCTCTAATGTGAGGTTTGTTATGTTTGACAGCTGCAGTCCAAGATTGTATGAGAATGAAACAGCATCCATAGGAGTGATGCGTCTTGATCTTTGTGGTGCTACATCTGGGTGTGAAAATTTTATAGAAACTTTGGCTGGTATAATTGGGCTAATGTCCACTCTCAGGTCTACATCATTGAGTAGACAGCACCTTTGCACCAATTGGTACAACATTGCAGTGGGTAGCTTTAAATAATTAGCTGCCTTTAATGTCTTTAATGATGGAAAAGACCTGGAAAAGCATTCAACAACAGGTTTAAGAAGTGGCATTTGGCAATTTGAGATATCCACTTCTTGCACTCCTTCAAAAGTCAAAATTGGAAATATTTGCCAGGAAATCTCAAAGTTGGGCCCAATAGGATCCTCAAAAGCAAGTAATTGCTGCTTAATTTTATTTTTCAAAATGGGATCCATGCTATGTGAAGAATGAAGCACTGATAAGAGGAGAAGAGCAGGACTAAACTGAGGGCAACCTGAAAGGTCCACTTTCTGCAGTATTTTAAGAATAAACAGTTTAGAACAGGAATTTGTATTGCAATATAAGCAAGGAAAATTGCTGTTGGCATCCTGCACTGAATTTTACAACTATATTTCAAATAATGCAATAAAAGAAGGCTAAATAAATAAAGATGAAAATAGCTTTTCCAAGCAGGCACAGAACAAATTTTGAATACAACTGAACAGCACATCTCCTAAAATAAAAATGAAAACAAATTGAAGTAAATAAAAAATAAAAAATAAATAAAAGGGCTGAGCACAATAAGAAAGCTTTCACCATCCTTTATCTTCTTTTCAATTCATCCTAAATGAGGAAAATAAAAACTAAAGCAACTCCAGAAAACTCTTTTCATAGTTGTGGATGAACAGCCTTTAGGAGAGACTGCAGCATGAAAGACCTCCTCCTAAGTAGAAAACACATTTTAGCAAATTCTTAGCAGTTCAATACTACGAGTGTATCTAACCCCACAACCAAATTGGGAATAAGGCTTAGTTGAGCAAAGTAGCAAATCCCAACAGTTATCAAAGACCTTTGAAACCCACACATCCTTATTAACATCTAAAATTGTGCATGAGATGTAAATATCACACATACTCAAAGACTTATTTCATAGCAGATATATGAATCCAAAAACATTGATTAGGCAATGGTTTCCTTGACGAAGTTCAAAATTCAAAGTTTGTTAGTTTTGACAGAATGAACTAGTAGAAGAAATCCACATTAATCAAAGCCAAGAGGATATCAAACAGTCCCAACGAGTGTAACAGACACTTGTCTCCAGTACAATAATTATAAATGAAACTAAAAAGACCATCAGATACAATTAGGGATTATTTAGCAGTGGGTAACCTTGGTGTATTTAGTCAACCGGATTCTAAGATGACTAAAGTCTTCATCATCAAGGATGTTTGTTGAGCTTGCAGAAGGATAACTTGCTAAAGTAAGAATGGTACTGATACCTCTATCAGCAAACTCTGAAAAGAAGTTGCATCTTCTTTTCACTGAAACAAGTACCAATTTATATTGAAACTCACTATAAATGAATCAATATTTTGGTTTCCTTAAGTAAGCATTAGAAGATTGTCATACCTGCAGCAAATGATAAAGGCAAAAGGCCAAAACGGATCTGTTCAAGATCAAATGCAATGAGAATTGTTAGAGGATATTGAGGGAGGTTGAGAGAATAGCTGCTCTCAGTTCAAATACACAGTTCATATTCTACAAGAATCACAACAAATAACTAGGCATAGAAATCTAGAAAAATGATCAAATCAATACCAAACACACAGAGAGTATTCTTTGCATTCAATTGCAACTACACTTGGTGCAAAAGAATTTGTCAAAAATGAAAATCAAGAGATGCAAGTAAGACAACATCTCCAAATATCCTGGTGTACAAGCAACATTTCTGAAAGTACAAACTGCAAAATCACTGTAAGAAAGGCCACATCAGATAGATATGCACTGATAAAACATCAAAAATTAAAGCTTTCATAATTATATATTTATATTCCATATACAATCATTTTTTTGCAAATATAACTTGTTGAGATTCATTGTGTGCTTTTATTGTGTTTTATTTATTTCTTGTGTCTGTTTATGTTCTTGTGTCTGTTAGTATCCCCAGGTTCTTTTAGTCCTCCATCTACTGCCTATATATTGTAGTCAGTGTACTTGTTTGTTTAAGTGTAAATAACAGTATAGCATTTTCTCCTTCAACTTCTTCAACATGGTAACAGTATAGCCTCATACTGCTCTTATTTCTCAGTCTGGACCTCTCTGACCATGGGTCCTTGATTCAGGTGCCTCTGAACATATCTATGGTAATTCTTCCTTATTGACTCACCTCACAAACTCTAAGTCTATTTTACAATGTGAATCCTGTGAACTAGCTAAGCAGTATTGTGTACCTTACCCTGCTAGGGTTAATAACAGAGTTGAGTCTTTGTTTCAATTAATTCATTCTGATGTTCGGGATCCATGTCGTGTGACATCGAAAACTGGGTTTAGATACTTTGTAAACTTTGTAGATGACTTCTCTAGATATACTTGGTTATACCTAATGAATTCTTTGTCTATTTTACAATATGAATCATGTGAACTAGCTAAGCAGTGTCGTGTACCTTATACTAGGCAAATGTGGTTCATACAGCCGCTTTCTTAATCAATCGCTTGCCATCTCGAGTTCTTGGGGATCAAACACCGTGTCATCTTGTTTACCCTTCTTATACATCCTTTCATCTTTCTCCAAAAATATTCGGTTGTTCTTGTTTTGTTCAAGATGTCCGATCTCAAAGGGGACAACTTGGCCCAAGATCTCTAAATTGTATCTTCTTGGGCTATTCCAGTACTCAAAAAGGTTACAGGTGTTACTCTCCAGATCTAGGGCGGTATTTAGTGTCTGCAAATGTTACCTTCTTTGAGATACTGTGTTTAGTGGGTGTCTTTCTAGTCCTACCTCTGTGTCTGGGGATGATGACTTTCTTATATACACTGTTATTGTTCCATCTACCTTGTCCGAACCTGCGAGTAGACTCCCAGTTGCACAGGTTTATCAAATGCGCCCAATGGAGGTTGTTACACAAGCAGTGCCACCAGTGGGTCCTTCCTTACCAGAATCTTCATCATCAAACTTGAATCTTCCTATTTCCCTCCGGAAAGGTAAACGTAGTTGTTGTCATCCTATATCTTCTTGTGTCATACAGTCATTTGTCCCCATCTTCATGTGCTTTTATCTCTCAGTTAGACTCGATTTCTATTCCAAAATCTTTGAGTTAGGCATTGTCTCATGATGACTGGAGGTGTGCGATGGAAGAGGATATGGAAGCCCTCAAAGAGAACCGGACCTGGGATCTAGTGGCTCGTCCCACGGGTAAGGTTGCTATTGGGTGTAAATGGGTGTATGTGGTCAAGATGAATCCTGATGGCTCAGTTGCAAGGCTAAAGGCGCGCCTGGTGGCTAAAGGTTATGCCCAGACGTATGGTGTTGATTATACAGAAACGTTTTCCCCGGTAGCAAAGTTAACTTTTGTGCATATCATTATTTCTTTGGTTGATACTAACAATTGGCCTTTGTATCAGTTGGATGTAAATAATGCTTTCTTAATTGGTGATTTGAATGAGGAAGTGTACATGGAGCAACCGCCTGGGTTTGTTGCTCAAGCGGAGTCTGGTAAGGTGTGCAAGCTAAAAAAATCCTTATATGGTCTGAAACAGTCCCGTCGTGCATGGTTTGGTAGGTTTAGTAGTGCTTTTATCAGGTTTGGTATGTAACGAAGTGCATGTGATCATACTGTATTCTTTAAACATACTGACCGCGGATGCATTTTGTTAATCGTGTACATTGATGACATAGTGATCACAGGAGGTATTCTTTAAGTAGGGTTTTCTCGTTTAACAGCTAATATTACTAAATAGAGAATTGGCTTTCATCCCCCAATACCAGTGCAAGACTCCAAAAGAAACATACATAAATAAATACCTAGAACACTGCTGTTTCATGTTAGGGAAATTCAGTTACTTAAAATTCACAATCAGTATTTCACAAAGATAGGGCAATGTATTTTTACCAACAAACAAACTTCTCGAGATTTGATGTCATGGTCTTGGTTTATAGCATGAAATATAAAATTAAAAAAGAAGATGTAATTTATCAACACATTTTGAATCATACCCACCACCTCCCCCCCCCCCCCCCCCCCCCAAGAACTTCGCATATGCACAGGCTCACTCTAGTGTAGAGAGAGAAACTTCCACTGCAAACAAGAAATACTAAAATATTTAAGCACTGCAGAATCACATCCCTACCTCTGCCAAAATGTCAGTGTAATCATTTATTGAAGCACTTGAAGCCCCATACTCTTTGGTGTTGGAAGTAAGCCAAGCTAGAATAGCATCACAGAGATGCTTTTCACTGTGCGAAAGAATGCAGCAGTTATGGTTGGCATTAGATAAGAGAGAGTGTGGATGTGTGTGTGTTCAAAGATGCAACTTAAAGGCTTCACCAACCTGTCTACTGTCAAATTAGGATTCTTTATACATGAATATAACATTTCATAAGGAACATCATGGAAAGCATCAAAGGAAATTGCCCACATCTGAAGAAAGAAGGAACCAGATCTTGCTTAGTTGATCATAAGTTGACAGTGAGGATTGAGGGTTCCATAATAAAATGTAGTTTAAGAAAAGAAAAAATGAAAAAGCTACGAATGACTAAGTAAAATTTTAAGCACTTACAAAGTTGCAGGCCAGATAGAATATACATAGTTGTGGCACAAAATCAATTGCTGCATCATATCGCACTTTAATCTATAAGACACAAGCCGTTATGTGGACAGCAAAGGAGTAAGCATGATCATCACTATGTTGTGCTAATCATTTTTACAGATCTAATAATCAAAGGTACACTTACCATTCTCCAAACCATATTTCCAGATGCTGATCAAATCAGCTAATTGTATTTGAGGTAGCAAAATCCCCTTGTATGAAGTCACACTCTTTAACCAACATTGACACTCCGAAAGGAGATAATCCACTCCAAAAAATAGTGCAGCCTGATGTCACAGATGAGAAGACTTAAATTTAAGTAAAAAACTACTATCAGTAATTGTAAGTTTTTTAAGTAAAACCAATTTCTGCACCAATAGAATACATCATAAAATATGGTATCAGATTGGACAAAAGGTCAAGGGCCCTTGCCTACAGCCTACCTGTCATCAAAAGTATTTCTCCATATTTTTCCATAAAAAAAAGTATCCAACAAACATCTAAGGGGCCACATTGATGTAAATATAAAACAATAAATTTCCATTCTTTAACAGCTTACACTTTTAATTGAGATGAAATGCATCCTTCAATAAAAATAAAAGTATGGACAAAAAACAACCAATTACTTGGTAACTATTTATTTTTACAGTTTGGAAACTTTTTCAGCCACTAATATATCTCAGATAAAACTCATAAAAGAAACAGAAAAAAAAAATATTATTAAAAAAAAATAAAAATAAAAATAAAAATAAAAAAGAGTAAACTCACCTCACAAAAAGAGATGAAACTTTCTGGAGTAATATCCAGGGAACATCCAAACACAGACCTTAAAACATTTATAAATGATTCCATGTTCCAATTGATGGATATACAATCCAAGCATGACTCACTGCAACAAAAAAATTTCATGTCATTGAATTATCTCCTACCAAAGGTAGAAAATAAAAAATGAAAAAGTTATCAAACCCTGCTCTATCAAACTACCAAAGCAAGCATAAGCATGCAAGGTGCAATTTTTAATGTCCATGTTTTACATATCAGCTTAGAGAATACATCAAATAATCCACTTTAACATGTTTGGTAAATAGCATTAAACGAAAAGAATAAGTATGGATTATGTAACATTATTTTTTTTTTTTGCTTATTTAAGCAAACAGATTAATTACACATCAACTTATAAGTTATAACCCATAATCACAATTTATAATCATAGCTTGGTGGAATGCAACAGAATATAGCTAGATGTAATGCCTTCTGCGTCTGTAGGCTCAAGCTCAATCATCATTCTCTCAGATGTACCAGAAATATATTACGAGAAAATGAAAGTAAAAACAAACAATTTCAATCAATAATTAATTTAAAACATTATGATACCTGAAGCTTCCACTCAAGAGACAACGAAAATATGAAGACTGTTCAATGAGCCTGAGCACAGAGAAAACGGAATCAATCATTATCAGATATAAAAATTTAAACTAATATAAAAATTATAGAAATAGTTTAAAGAGTTAAGTTTGGGATGATTAAAAAGATGAAAAAATAAAATTACCTTTGACGGTTGGCTTTGATTTTAACGATTTGGTGAGCGAGAATATAAGCCATGTCCCAATCGATAATAGCATCCGTTGATACGATGATCTCTTGGCCATCTCCCTCCGAAATCGTCTGGTCCGGCTCGGTGCAGCTGAGAAGTACGAACTCGTCGTCGGCGTTGTCGGCGTCCAGCGCCATGGAGCAGATAGTGGAGCCAAACTGGCAGACTGCAAACAAATTCTGTTAATCCTACTTAGATAAGTGAGTCAAGTTACTGGCTCTATTACATTGTAGTATCTGTTCATATACTTTCTCAACCTACTGAAACACAAAGAACCAATAACGCTTCCACTGAGGCTTGAACTCATAATCTTCCAATTGGAAGTCCAACCCGGATACCATTAGACCACGTAGTCCTGGTAGATTGTCAAAAATTTAATTAGTGGGAATGTTTAACTTATTTGGGCAATATTTAAAATATAATTATTAGCAAAAAGGTTTTTTTTTTTTTTTTTTTTTTTTGGTTACAATGGAAGAAAAAAAAAAAATTTGAACACCATAATCAAACTACACAAATTTAGATCAAATAACTTTTTATCATATGTGTCAACAACTATTAGTAAACTAACTAGTTGAGGGCACACGCTTTGCGCGAAACGTTATGCCCAACAATCAATTATTATGTTCTAATTTTTTATTTTTTATTTTTAAAACGAGTATGTTCTAATTTTTAAATAATAATATATATAATTTTTAATAATTGTTATATGACAAAATAAATAAGAATACATAAATAAGTTATTTAGACACCAACATGATATACAAGAACTGAATTAGGAACATGCGGGTGGACATTAGATTTGATTTTGAGGGAGAGAATGGAGATATTAGCTAGAATAATGTAGTAGTTTTCTAAAAAAAAAAAAAAATGTTAAGAAAAAAAAAAGAATGGAGTGTTGGAATGATGGAGAAAAAAAGAAGACAAAGATCACACCAAGGCAAAGAGGGGGAGGACAAAAAAGTAATGGTAAAGTTGTTATTTCTTTAAAAATTGAGGACAATTAAAATGAAAAAATAAATCAAAAATTAGATCAAAAAAATTCATCCATTAGATTTGAAATCAATGGTAAGCAAGGGGTGCCATTTTTGAGGGGCAAATGGCAACTCCCAAATATAAGTATAGGGGATGTCATTCGAGGTTTCTCCGGAAAGTGCAAACTAACAAGACAAGAGCCTTGATAAGTTACGAACGGGGGCTTGGGTCCTTCTCATCTCCTTTGTAAAGGCCTTTTCCTGTTACTTTGAAAGAGGTGTTTGCACTTCCTCTTCAGTTAGTTTAGCCTTTCCCTTGGCAGTTTCCTTCTCGGCCACTTTCTTCATATACACACGATGAATCGCATCAATGTTTGTGGTGAGAGGAATTGAGGAGGTTCCTAGCCATTCGAGTGAAATGTTCTCCTCGGGTCGCATGCGTTTCAAACCTTCTTCGATGATGTCAAGGTTTGACATGCGCCACTTCTGTCAGGTGGTGATCACTCGGATAAGTTTTGCTAGCAAGTCTTGATCCGTAGAGATGGTGAGGGGGGGGGGGGGGGGGGGGATTAAAACGGGCCCAATATATTCCGGGTCGGATCACACAATAAAGGAGACCGAAGGTAGGCACAAGAATAGGAGGAGCTACGGGGCGGAGGCAACAAGGGCAGCCGGGTGGAACCGACCTGTAACATCCCACTTTTCTAATTCTTAAATTACAACTCTAAACAGTCATTAACATAACTAAGCAGTGGAAATAACAACTAACAAGATAATTAGTGGGAGTGTCACCGCCACAACCACCACTCCGTGGTGATTGCACAGGCTAAGGGGTAAAACTAGAAATAAGATAAAATCTGGCATCCAAATAAAATATTGGAAACATAAGGGGGGGAAACGTCACCCCAATAATCTACATCATCCTCAAAAACATAGAGTCAAAATAGGTCTAGAATCCATAACATGATCATCAATAAAACTAGAGTTTAGACATCTCAAACTAAGAGACTAATCTAACTCGATCTCTTCTCATTGTTGGGCCCACCTGAAAGGGGTTTTGCAAGCAACACATAGACAAATAGGAAAACACCCGTTAGCACGAAGCTAAGTATAACCACACTCAACCCTCTAAAGCATTCTAGCATTTACTTTGAAAACATATGATTTCTTTATAACCAATAAATCATCTCAAATCATCTTTAGATCTAACACATACTTTCTAGATGCTTGCACCCTATTATATCAGCTGGCATGCTCATATATATAAGATTGTTCACTTAAATTCATCAGCATATAAACTTCTCAAATAACTTAACAAGCAATTCATGTTTACAGATAGGATCATGCTAATAAACCATATAACAGGTATTCTCATGCTTTCATATTCTCATCTCATAATTTGATAAACAAGACTTCTAATACAACAACACGATTATAAATCAACATTCTCATTATGCACTCTCATGCGATACTTTACTCACATGCAATCTCGTGCAACAATACACTCATACTCATATGCAATCTCGTGCAATACTATAAACATACTCATGTGCAATCTCGTGCAATACTATAAACATACTAATATGCAATCTCGTGCAACAACATACTCATACTCATACTCATATGGAATCTCGTGCAATACTATAAACATACTCATATGCAATCTCGTGCAACAACATACTCATACTCATATGCAATCTCATGCAATACTATAAACATACTCATATACAATCTCGTGCAACAACATACTCATACTCATATGCAATCTCGTGCAATACTATAAACATACTCATATGCAATCTCGTGTAATACTATAAACATACTCATATGCAATCTCGTGCAACAACATACTCATACTCATATGCAATCTCGTGCAATACTTATACATCATACTCATATGCAATCTCGTGCAGTACTATAAACATATGCAAGCTTGTGCAATTCTATAAACATACTCATATGCAATCTCGTGCAATACTATAAACATATGCAAGCTTGTGCAATTCTATAAACATACTCATATGCAATCTCGTGCAATACTATAAACATATGCAAGCTTGTGCAATTCTATAAACATACTCATATGCAATCTCGTGCAATACTATGTATATAAATACTCATACACTCTTTATAAAATAAAGTACTTTCTGTGGAGGTCTCTTTCATACTTTCTTGAGTCTCTCTTGACTCTCTTTCTTTCTCTTGAGTCTCTTTTGACTCTCTTTCTTTCTCTTGAGTCTCTTTTGACTCTCTTTCTTTCTCTATACTCGTTGACGGCTTAGGGTTTCACCGAAGCATGAATTACCCCATCGGGAATGGCATAAATCCGACCCAATATCTCCTACCGTTATGAAACCAATCTCGTGGTTCAAACTCTATGGAATCAGGTATCGAACTATTAGTGTGCATACCCCCTAACCAGGATTCGAACCTGGCGGGAAGTTTCCAACCTCGTAACGTGGGAATACGTTGCGTTACATATACTAGGACCGCAATGTCCATAAATATCTCCCGAGAGGACATAGTCCAAACGGTATCCTACAAAACCTCACCAATATAGATAATACATAAATATATCTCTCATGCATGCAACAACTCGACTACTTCTCAATGCATCAAAGAATGATGTACCACATGCTTATGGTTTTTGAAAGTATTCTTGGGCTCACGTTGGCCCCTTATGCATTTTTGAAACATGACATATGGGAGATGCCAAAATGCTCTATAACATGCTTCTAAATCATGTATAAAATAACATGAAACACTTAAGAATATAATGTCATGCTCGGTATTCAACACAACAAATTCTATACATTCTATCAACAAAATATGCTTCATTTCTCATTGATCAAATCTCTCAATCTAGTCATGCTTTCATAATAAATCATATTCTCAAATGATCATGCTTCTTTACTCAATAAAAAACATCATCAGATCACATAGTCAAATAATTCTTCATACACAGTAACTTAGCAAATATATACTCTGTGTAGCAATTCTTCACAAATTCCTTCATAACATACTCGTTTTTAATCCAAATTTAACGAAATCAAAGCCAAAACGTGCGTCGAGACGGTCCCGAAGAGCCGAGCCACAAGGGCCCGTAACACTCGGCCTGAAACGACATGTAGCTGAGCCACAAGGGCCCGACCACTGCACAGATTCTTCTCAGAATCAAAGTCAGGGACCTGGGGCGGGACTCCTCATGGTCCGCCCCATGTACCTCGCTACTCCACCGGGACTAGGCGGCGGCCCTCCTCTAGGGCCGTGCCCTAGTCCCGTGCAACTACGGCTCTAGCCGGCGGCCCTCCTGATGGGCCGCGGCTAGGGTCGTTAGTCTGATCTGGTGCACCAGAAGGTTTTCTCATCTGCAAAACTCAACCAAACAAGTCCAAAACAATCTCAACAACTCACAAACAAAATTCTAAATCACTTCTAAGCATAAAAACAACAAAATCTCATAGTTTCTACTCATTTCTACTCAATATAAGGCTTCACAGAGCCAAATTTCAAAGAGGAATCCATGGGGTTATACCTCTTGTAGTTTTTCTTCTAGCTTGGATCTCTTCTTCCTCTCTATCTAGCTAATGCCTCCTTCACCACCTATACTTCCCAAACACACCATACAACCTTAGCCTAGAACCTCAAAGATTAAAAGAAACTAGAAGAGAAATGAAGGCTAGAATTGAAGAAGGAGATGAGCTTAATGTGATGTTGTTTTCTCCCTTTTTCGCGGCAGACAAAAAGTGTGGAGAGGCAAAGAAAGAGATCAGGAAATCAAAATGGAATAGTGGAGTTTATATAGGGTCCAAAACCCTAGGTAGAAGGCCAATGATTGGTTGAGGGCAAAATGGTAAAAAGCTTGCATAAAATGTGTTCTCAGCAAAGTCTTTTGGAATGAAATGGTTCACCTTGTATCATTGACCAAGGCTAGAAATGCTAACTTTAAAATACTTTGGGGTTGACCAAGGCTAGAAATTCTAACTTTAAAATACTTTGGGGTTGAAAATGAATTTTCTCAAAAAGCTATTTGGATGAACACTTGTTTAAAATCTTTTTGAATTCTCCCGGTTTCTCAAAATACTTGTATCATTGACCAAGGCTAGAAATGCTAACTTTAAAATACTTTGGGGTTGAAAATGAATTTTCTCAAAAAGCTATTTGCATGAACACTTGTTTAAAATCTTTTTGAATTCTCCCGATTTCACTCAGATAAATTTCTCGATTTAAATCTAGATATGCGAAGTACCCAAAAACTTAGGAATTTTTGAATAAAATCCATTTTAGTGTCGAATTAATTTAAAATGTGACGAAAAATAATTTATTCAAACACCAATTGTTCATAAAAAAAAAAAAAAATTAGTGGAGTGAAAATGGCCGTTTTGAAATTTCTTAATACCCGATTTATAAAATGAAAATTTGGGTTGTTACACGACCGATGAGGCTACCTAACTTGATCACAGTCGTGTATAAGTGGGAGAGGTCGGTCAGCAAGAGGGCGAACCGAATAGACTTACTATGTAGCCTGTCGGATCAACTAAGAACTCCTAGGTCCCGGACCAGTAAGAAGGGCTTAGCCGCTCGGATGTCCGAATGAACGCCTCAAGCGCCCTCTTGGCTTACTTAGTAGCCGGTCGGCAGCAGTCCGGAGAGATCATTAGTCGGAGGAGTAACCAAGTAGTCGGAGGAGTAGCCAAGCAGTCGGAGGAGTAGTCGAGTAGTAGGAGGAGTAGTTGAGCAGTCGGGGGTGAAGACCCGACTGGAGGGGCAAAGGTGGGAGTCGTTTGAAGTGCGCGCGCGGGCATCCTGATCAGTCAAAAAAGGGGCGCGGGCGGCGACTAGGCATTGTAGTCTATCGAAAGATAGAGTAACCGACTCCCTGAGGGACTCGGATCAGTACCAGAGATGTGGCAGGACCCTTAAGCGATCTGATGAGCGGATTTCGTGGAATACGCGGAGATAATAAGGAAAGGGGATCATTTGAATTTAGAAAAGGAAATCAAATGTATTTTGGCAATGAGAACTTGCCTAGTTTAAGCTCATTAATTCTAGTATAAATAAACCCTTGTAAACCCTGAAAAGGGGTTAAGCTTTTCGCATACCTACAATAAATACAAGGCACTTACTTTTCCAGTGGTGTTGGCCCGTCGTTTGACTGCCCAGTGGTTAATAAAACCAACATTGGCGCCGTCCGTGGGAATCGATACCAAAGGCCGTGTCGCCCTATTCAAGCAAGGAGTTTGAGGCTAGGAGATGGCAAGAACGAGGAGAACCCAAGTTGCCGCCGGCCAAGACCGAGTATCGAAGGGACGAGACTTGCGGAAGCAGCTCAACCGTCAAAACTCCCACGAACATAAACCAACTTTCAACGCCCATCCCGATGATCCTCCGCCTCACAAGGAATCGGCGGACAATGTGTCACTAGTCCCGCCACCAGCGTCGGCTAGCTACACCTTTGCTGAGGTAATGAATCGAGCATTAGATCTTTATGAATGAGAGTTGAACCTACGAGTGGGGACGACCCCAGTGGGTGTCCCCCCTCCCCTTGTTCAGCGGGTCGCGGGGATTCCACTCTTCAGCCCGAGCGGGTGGATCGAGATCGATCGGTGCATTCTCATTGCTCCTATGTTCTGATGAGGACATAGGAGATCCGAGTATTCCAAAGCCAACAAACGACCCTTTCCAAGAGCAAGGAAGGCCTTTAACTAGGGCCCGGGCAGCAAGGTTGCGAGAAGCTATTTGCGGGTGGCTTGCAACGGTGGATTGGACTCCTTTTTATTTAACTCCAAAT